CAGAAAAAAAAAAAAAAAAAAAAAGGATGGTTATTCCCTTGACACCATTATTACTATTTGACTCCCTCAGCAATGTTTATCTTCTTTAAAAATCAAAAAGATAATGTTTATTCAAATTTTGTTTTTTAGTTGGTATTTTTTATAAAATTATAAATAATTTTGTTTTCATAGCCATTTATAAAATGGTAAATAATATTGTTGGTTTATATATTTTTAATAATTTTGTAAATTATTTTTTTTTACAATTTTTTTTTAATAAAAAGACTTCTTTTCAAATTTATTTCTTTATAAAAAAGATAAATATCGCACTGTACCTGGTTCACATATTTTTACAATCTCGTAAATAAATATTGCTGAGGGAGTCAAAAGTGTACAGTAATAGCAGCGTCAAAGGAATGACATCCTTTTGACAAACCGTTTTGTCCCCCCCGATACAAAGATCAAACAATTTCATTTATTTTTTTATATAAGCCTGTGATTTATTCCACACCAATTTCAAGTTAAATAAGCCATTTTTTTTTTTGGAGGTGGAGCGTAATATTTAAAAGGCACTTAAATTTGACTGGAAATGAATTGTCCTAAGTATAATCTTTAAAAGTAAATTTGTTTCAAGAGAATAGGTGCTATTCTATATTGAAATTGTTAGATTTTCTATCCTCTCCAATACAGATCTTCACAAACCAGTTTTAACACATTTAATCATTCACGATACCTTCTCCATATACCATACAAATCTTTTATTGTATTTGAGTTGCAGTTTTAAAAAGAAAAAAGAAAACCAGAAACGTTTATTTTCTTCCATCTTCCTTGTTAGATGGAAACAAAAACTTGTCAATTTTGACAAAACTGCAATCTAATGTCACAAATTATCTTTCCAAAATTAATTAAAACTAAACACTCCAAATTTCAATCTAATGACAAAAATATTCAGAGTAGCCAATAACATTTTAAAGTAAATAAAATTAATTTTCTTTTAACATTTAGCATTCTGGAGGAAATTATGTTCAAACAAAAAGATTGTTGTGTCACTGCAGATAACTATTTTCCAAATGAACATGTGTTTGAATTTAACAATTGTGTTGTCAGGTCCTGCTATAGCAACAGAAAACAACAATGAGGCTACTGCAGTTTTGAAAAAGAATGCAAAAGGGCAAATTAATACTCTTTAATACTATACAATTAAAGGTTAATTTTTTTTTCTTAAATTTGAATTGATCAATAATTTTAATTTAGTTATTTGTTGTGGCTATTTGGCATTTTTCCTTGTAATGTCAAAAGACAACCATCAGCTAAGAATTGCAAGGTACTTTTTAAAATAAAAATGGCATAATTTAGATTTATAACTCCTGGGAAAAAATATAGATAAAATTTCTACCAGCAACCCCACCCATTTCTTAGTTATGTAAATAGGAAAATAACCATAGAAAATTATAAAGGAAAGAATATCAATATAAAACATTTCTATATAGATATTTTGTTTTCATGTAAGTAATCACAAAAATGACACAATTTAGAACATAAATGAATTTATAATACATTTTGATTATGTATATTTTCATAATACCTTATGAAAATTTTAAAACTCAACAACCATACAGGATATGTACAAGAATTAAAATCATTTTCATTCTATAAGTATACAGACATAATTTGATTTTTAATATACTTTTTCAGTGGATATTACAAAGTGTTAAAATCTCTTGCCATGTATACAGATAACACGCACACACACACACACGTGTGTGTGTGTGTGTGTGTGCGCGTGTGTAGTAGGTATTATTTATGTTGATTTGGGGACATTTTTACATCAACACCAGTTAAGTACATGTAAAAATGAATTTAATAAAGGTTAGTGATGTAATATAGCATTTTTGACGTGTGTTTATAGCCAGTAAATTTTTATCAGGACTCCCTTGAAGTATTTTCAACATAAAGAATCATGTTCTTTTTTAATTAGGATGGCATTTGTAAAAAAAAAAAAAAAAAAAAATCAAAGTTTTGGTCAGTCTTGTTTCTGTGTATTACAAGTTAATTTTAATGAAAAAAAATACAGAAAATTTTTTCCTATATCTTATTCTCTGATGAGGCTTTAATAAAAAGTGAAACATGTTAGCTTTATAAACATTTCCTATTTGTTATCATATATATATATATATATATATACACACACAAAAACAAACAATAAATCAAGACAAAAACCTTAAAGATCCATTTTAGTTATAATTTATTTTGTGAATATTTGTATATTCATTTCTTTGTACCAAAAGGACTTAATTCATCTGTAATTTAAATTTACATTGAGCTTTTTAGATTAATATCCTCCTTGGAATTATCCCTACCAGTCACAAATTGGTATGTGTGTATATATATATATATATATATATATATATATATATATATATATAAAATATTAGTGGTCATATATATATATATATATATATATATATATATATATTATTTATTTCAAGAGGATAGAATCAGGCAGAGCTCAATGTCCAGGACATAGCAAGAACATAACATAAAAAAGCTAAAACACTAATATTCCACGGTTATAATTTATTACATTGGAATCGTAATCACAATCCAATTCATCAAACTTACAAATTCAAAAATTTCTGAATTTGTAGGTCTGATGAATTGGATTATGATTACAATTCTAATGTAATAAATTATAACCATGGAATATTAGTGCCTGAGCCATATATATATATATATATATATATATATATATATATATATAAATAATTTTTACCAGAATTCTGATAAATCTAATAGGAAATTGCACTTCACTAAAGAGTAAATTAACTTTTCAATTTCTTATTGAAAGAATTTACACTGCATAGAAAACATTTCAGACTTTAATCCAAAACATATTTAAATTATTAGCAATAAATTTTTCATATTTCTTCAAAAAATCATTGTAATCATGTGTTAGCTAAACTGTAATATTCTTAGTTATAACAATTAGTTTAGAGGCTTCAATTTTCTTAGAAAAAAACTTTCCAGTGTAAATAACATTTAACTTTTCAAAAGGATCCATTCATAAAAAAAAAAAAAAAAAAAAAGAAAGAGAGAGAGAGAGAGAAATTCATAAGGTTTCAATAAATCTGACATCAAAAGACCAGGTTAAATAAGCATTTAAAATTACCACAACCATAAGACACTATAGATTTCTGATTATTTAACAAACAATTTAATTTTAGCTATGAATAAATTCCAGCAATTTTTTTTTTAATATAATGCTTATAGTATTTTAAATAAGGACAATAGCAAAGTATTTACATGCCAGGTTCATTCAAAGTTAAATCCCAAATAGTTTAGCAAAACTGAGTATTTATGTAAGCCATGGATGAGTGATTTTCTGAATATTACCACATTATAGACTATTAGAGCAATGAGCAACAAGAGAATTACAGTTTCACATATAAAAAGGAAAAGTGAAAGAGAAAAGTCTTTATTTTTCTCTAGCTAATCAAATATACAACCACATATATAAACTGGGGAGGTGTGCACATGCACAACTAAGAAATTTAAAAAAACAAAAAAGAGAGAAAAGAAAAGATTCTGGGGTTTAGTCAGATAAGTTTTAGCAAGTGGATTGTGCTGAGGACTTTTCAACATTGTGTAACATGCACATGTAACACTTTTCACAGAATGCACAGATACTACACTGATCCTAGGCAAAAGGGCCAATCCATTTGTGATAGATCTTATACTCTATGTTAGTCACATAATAATGCTTTAATTTCAAATATTGTTTTAATGATTGATCCATTTTCTATAACTTATTAATCTCTTTTGCAGGTTATTTAAAGTCAGAAAATATTTTTAGATTGTAACATTTTTTTGAGGTAATAATGATTTACTAATACAAGTTTTACTAATTAACCCATAGTTGGAGGTGGAAGAGATGGATTTATATCTTTCCACAGGGTATTTGCATATAAGAGAATATAACAAAACCCAACAGAAATTGGAACTCAGCTCTCTAACAATTCCAAGCCATTATCCATTACACCATCTGCATATCAAAGCTTACAGCACCTGGTATCCCCAAGTGGTCACCCATCTAGTTACTGACATTGCTTAACTTCAGTGATCATACAGGAACCGATGTTTCAACACGATGTGATTGTAAACCTAATGTGAGGAATTATTAGGCAATATCAAATTTTTGTAGAGAATAAAAAATTTTAAATACAAAAATTCTATTTTACAAGTTACATAGGGTGAAAACTTCCATAGATCTTTTAAGGTTTCAAATAGTGAAACCAAATCAGTCATGCAAGCAAATTATTTCGGCCAAAAGACGTCACCTAGAATTAACTTAATTAAAATTAGAACATTCAAAGAAAAAAAAAAAACAAAGACAACTGTTATATTATGAAAATTATTCAAAAAAAATAAAAATAAAAATAAAAAATAAATAAATAAATAAAATAAATAAATAAATAAATAAAATAAAATAAATAAAAAATAGAAATAAAAAATAAAAAAACTAATTGTGATGATTATTGTTGTGATGTGGGGTCTGGCAAGAAGGCACAACACTTTTGATAGTAGTATTTAATACTCAGCTAGACAAGTCACTGCAGTAGTATTATGTTCTTTTTAGGCAATTACCCAGGACTACTAATCATGAATGGACTGATCCTTTCATGACACTAAGGAGGGTAACTGGCTCTTACCACAACAATTATAATAGTAAAATTATGGATGCTTTCATAAAAGTAATTTTCAAAAAATCTTATAATTTTAAAACCAAAATAAATTAAGCACTAAAATCTATTTAGATTAGAAGAAAACCTTCAGTCATTTTAATCAGTACACAGTATAAAGATCAGCTTTCTGAGGAGAAAATCTTCTATATGATTAAGCCATACAAACAGAAGGGTCAGATTTTCTGTTTTACATCAGGGATTATAAATAAAAAAAGATTAAAAATTGTCCACCCCCACAAAGTTTTTCCACCAAAAGCAAAATGAAAGAATTGTCCTTACCTGGCGATTCCGTTCATCATTTATACGAGTTATTTGAATCTTCTTTCGACCCATTGTATAAGATCTGTTTAAAAAATAAAAATTTAAATAAATAAAAACATCAAATAGAAGGAATCATTTATCCCAAACAATTCTTTACAAAAAATTACACAACGTTTATCATAGAAATAAAAATGCATCCAGGTAAAGAAAAACTGACAATTAGAAATCTTTTAAGATTTATAATTATCAGTTTTTCAATAAAGAAAGATTTTTAAAAAAATAAACAATGAGGCCAATCCATCTAAGTAGTGCAATAGTAAAATTATTAATGACTGCAAATATTTTAAAGAAAATCTATAGTATATAAAAAAAAAAAAAATCTTCAGCATTTTTCCATTAAATCTATTGCAGTAATTTTATATCAAGGCTAATCAGAAAATATGCTATTCTGAATGCAATAAATTTGGAATAAAATCTGAAAAATGGAAACAGTGGATTCAGTCTATATTTAATTTAAGAACACTTAAACACACTAAAACAGGAAAACACCAATTTAAGGCATGCAACACATTTACATCTATTTTCCTTGTAGTCTTGTATATAAAAATATGAACAAAGTGTTTAAATTTCATCACAACATTAAAGCAACTTTAAACCCAAGAGAAAGTTGTAGACATTTGTAGAAGTAACATTTCAATCTGATTTTAATCAAAGCAGAACAATAACTTAAAAGAAACTTTGTGAACTTGAAAGAAAAGATTCTAATTTTAGTTCTGTTTGTAACACCAATAGTTTTAAGTACCAAATCATTTTATAAGAAACAACCATATCTAATTTACTTTTAATTCAACTTGGCTTCTAAATTCTTGAGGAAAAACAAAGATCAAAATAGAGAAATCTTAAAAAAAAAAAAAAAAAAAAGTAAAGATTTTGTGTTAAACTGTCAATAATAAAAACACATTTTATCATACGTTAGTTTATTTTCTCATTGTCCAAATAAAACTAGAACTGTCATCATTACCACTTACAGTTAGGCACTACCAGGTATCCTTACTAGATATTAAAATAAACTGTACTTACTGAATAAAGTAAAAAGAATCTTTCAAGATTATCAAAAGGGGAAAATAAACTTTAAACACAGAAAAAAAATATACAAAATTTTTCAATTATTGGCTATTTTCTTTGCATACTTAATTTTCAAAATAAATAAACCTGTAAAAAGAATCCAATTAAAAAAAAAAACTATTTTCTATACAGATTGCAAACTATATTTGTAGACAATTTTGTAGTTATTAGAAAGTGCTTCAACAAATATCATAATGATATGCCATAAATTCCTACAAAACTTAAACCTTTATGAAAATATGCATTTATTTATGATGTCCAAGTTTTATAATAGTAACAATTCTTTCAACTAAGATTGACAAGCATCTTCCTCTGCTTAAGGCTAGAGATTAATATTGTTGTAATAATTATATTGCCAACAAAGCAGAAAATACAATAATATCATGTATAGACTTAATCCCATTAAAAAGGGAAGATTTTCAGTAATGACCAATATGATAAAATCAGCTCAAGTTGTTTTTGGGGGAGGGGGGTTGATACTAATACAAAAACAAGTTCAATGCTTATTTCAATCCTACTCACATCATAAGTAACCTATAGTTTCAGTTAAAAAAAAAGAAAAAGGAAAAAAAAAAAGAAAAAGGAAAAAAAAAAAAAGAAAAAGGAAGAAAAAAAAGGAAAAAAAAAAAAAAAAAAAAAAAAAAAAAAAAAAAAAAAAAAAAAAAAAAAAAAAAAAAAAAAAAAAAAAAAAAAAAAGAAGAAAAAGGAAAAGAAAAAGGAAAAAAAAGAAAAAGGAAAAAAAAAGAAAAAGGAAAATCTTAATTTTCTACACGACTTCAATTTCTAAATTATCTAAATTCCAATAGTTGCCTCTGTTCTCAGTGTTATTGTTTTAAATGATTTTTAATAATAATTCAACAAAACTGACTTATAATCAAATTATATAGCATAACAATACTTGAGTTAATTGAATGTAAAAATCTAACGACAAAAAAAAAAAAAAGCACAATCTTTAATGCATCATGCAAATGTGAAACAAGATAATCTCTTATCTTACCAACTACAATGGATTTCTTTTTTGTTAAATAAAAAAAATAAATTTGTAAAACATCAAATACTTAACCACTGACATTTTACAATTCTTCATCACACAAATTGCAAATTATTTTAAATTCCCTGAAGATTACCCAGATCAAGAAACACCTGAAGATGGCCAGAGTGCACAACAGCTGAAATGTTGTGATAAAGACGAGGACAATAGTCTGCATGTAAATAATAAAAGACTTTATAAGTTCTAAATATTAACCATGCAGAGCGTAAGTCAAAATCATGAACAAAATATGATTTACAAAAACATTTAAAACACACAATTTATATTTTGTTTTTATTTACAAATACATGAACACAACTAATCATATATTTCAACAGCATTAGAGAGGAAATCTATTTTACTTTTTGGTGTTAAACTTTTAATATGGAGAGAGAGAAAAAAAAATCATCTCAACCACACTTCAAAGCTTTAGACTAGAGATTTGTGTAAATACTGTATTAAAACCCAAAAGAGTTCCAAGATGAAATCAATAAATATGTGAATACATTTCATAAAAAAAAAAAACAATATAGATCTAATAGGTCCAGAATCAGCATAAAGTCTCCACAAATAAACATTACCGTCAATCACATATTAAAAAAAAAAAAAAAAAAAAATAATTAAACACAAGTATTTCTAAAATTAATTAAAACAAAGACTACAGATTCTTTTTGCTTAAGTTTTAAAGACATTTTCTGTCTGAATTTCTGGCATGAGCAGTTATTATTTAGATGCATACTATTTTCCTCATCTTTGTTGTTGTTATCACTGGTACATTTAAAGACATGTTTCTGGATATAACTAAGTGCTGTTTTATTTAATAAAAAAAAAAGCATACTAAAACATCTAAGTCACGCTGTGATAATCAAAGTTAGTTAGAAAAAAAATGACAAATTTTTAAATAATGCTTAATCACGTTTGAAAATAAGTCCATTTTACTTTAAAAAAAAAAAAAAAAAAAAAAAAAAGAAGAGGAGCAGTTCAAAGAAAATGTCACTACAAAGTGAAAGTTTGAATAAATTGTGCAAACTATCAAAGAAGAAAATAGAAAATTTATCAAAATTATTAACAGGGAAAATATCAGATCTACAGACTATAAACTAAAACGAAAAAAACAAAAAAAACAGCTGAGGTCAACTTTATTTTAAAATGCATCATTACATAATATATAACAGTGAATGTCCAAATGTGACCTTTACTTTCACTATGCTGAATCAAATTTCTAGGTAATACAGTAAATAATCTGGAAGGAAGAGTATTGATTTGAAATAAAACCACAAACTAATCTCCCTGTATTAATTTATACAGGCACAAAAGATGGAAAAAGAATTAACAAAACTAAATTTCTATCTATAGTGCCAGATCATTCCACATAAAAGATAAAAAATTCCTTCCAAAGAAGAGAAATTCAAAACTAGACACAAACAAAGACTGTTTATTTTTGCAAATGGTTTTATATTGTTAACAAAGCATGTCAATTTTCAGGGACACTTTTTTAATCAATTGAAGAAAATAAAAGAAAGTAATTATTTTTTTAGTTTACCTCATAACAAAAATATCTTAATTTTCTTTTTACTGCATTAATATTGTTTTTCAGAATATAGACTGGCTTGTTAACCATCACTTAATGATAGCTTTTCCCAGATAGCAATTACAATCACTGATTATACAACCAAGTCAACAATAGCATGGTGTTAAAGCATCCCTACTGGTCACACTGCTAGAGTTTTTTTGTTTTTTTTGTTAGACCTGTACTTTTATGTGCTTATAACAAAATATGCAAATAAGTAAGAGAGGGTGCAGAAATGTTTTTTTTTTAAATTGGCAATTTGGTCAAATATTAGGGAAGTGGGTAATGCCAAGAATTTTTCAGTTGCCCCTCATATTGGAAATTCCACTGGCTATTGTCAAAGAGTAACTAGGCAATCAGTTGTTGCAAGAACTTCATGATTACAAGAAAAGTTTATTTGCTTAGTGTCTGTCCTGAATAGTAAAATTCAATTTACCATCTCAGCTCAAACTGACTACAATAACCAAATTTTATCTCTCAAAAAATGCTATTATTATAATACATAAGTTTATCAATAAATCAGTAGCCTAATAATAAAAGAAAGTAAAAAAAAAAAATGAAAGTATATTTGTAGGAGATTTTTAACAAAAATGTCCAAATATCAAAATATTACGAAGAGTTTTAGATTTCATTTGCTTTACTATTTTTATTTCTTTTCTATGAAATTTCTATTTTTAGAATCAACTGATATTTTCAGCCATATGATCTTTATCAATTCAAGTGAAATTTATGAAGTCAAGGAAATATTAGATACATTATCAATTTATTGATGCAAAGTATCAAGAGATTTGAAGACAAATGTGTATTATAAAATGAACATTGAAAAGAAAACCAGTTAAATTAACAGATCTAAAATCTAAGATGTCAATAAAATAATTTAGAGACAAGATGTGCACACCAGAAAATTTGATTTAATTATAAAATAATCTGCTTTAGATAAAATATTTATGAAAAATAGATGTTTATGCAAATGAATACAGATTGGGTGATCAAGATATACCTAATTAGCTAATTATATTTTAATATTCTTTTAATATATGTGAAAATCTAAAATTAAGATGTAATAAAAAGTGACCAATTTGCTTTTTAAGTCTAACAGTGTCATGTAAAATACTTTTGTTGGTATGCAATTATCATATACTTTTTAATAGTCAATTAAATGAAATTATCACTTCGGTTATTTAAAAAAGTTTTTAAACCATTAAAACCAAGTATAAAATCCAAAAGGGGCCTAACCTATCCATAAACCATTAATGACTTCAAATATCAAAAAATAAAAAATAAAATGCTAATGTCTGAAAATAAACTTTGATTAGTTTAGTTATTGTATGTTTCATTTGGAAGTTAAAAGCTGATTGGAAATAAAATTTCAAATCTTAAAATGTAATAATAATGTCCTATCATCAAGAAAACAAAAAAAAAATCATACAAAGTAACCCAGCTATTATAGAGTTAAACATGAACCCATCATAAATGTTATCCATAAGATCCTTTTTTTGTGTTCATAGATTTTTATTTTGCTTTTTATTTCTTAAACAGCTAAGTTTTATTTTTATGGCTAAAACAACATTAGGTGATTTGAGACTAAAAAAAATTTAAAATCAGTTATTTTATTCAAAGAACTTCAATTCATAAAATTTTAGTTATTTTACTAACCTATTTAGAAAACAAAAATAAAAAAGAAAGGACATCTCTTTTATCATAAAAGATATGAATGTAATATCAGGTTTCCTAGATTGTAGCAAGCATTTAGAGAGACAAGAAGTGTATCTAAAGCAGACTTTTCTCATACTACTTACTACTACTACAATACATAAAATGTGTAAGTAAAAATGTTGAAAACAGCACATAACTATTCTAAAGGTGTGAAAAGAAAAAAAAACAACTTTTCTTCAACAGCATAAAACTTTCAACTTTTTTAAAAGTCCTATTGAATCTAGGAACAATGTCCAATTTCATTTCAGGACTTTGTAATTAAAAAGGAACATGTTCAGGTCCATGTATAGGAAGGAATGTGGCAAGAGAGTATGCTAACGGGAGTGAGGTAATAATTTCCCCAAGAAACAGTAGCAAAATATACTAATCATCGAAAGAAAGCAAGAAAGAAACCATATAGAAAAAGAAAGATTTATTGGTAATAGTACGATTAACTAAAGAGAATATAAAATATTTTCATAAACAAGGGAGAGAGGGGGGGGGAAGGAGGTAAGTGACGCAATAGATTTCGTTTTCAAAGAGAGAGAAGGTGTGTATAGTTTCCCTTCTACACAAGCAAAAGGGACAACCTTAATTGATTGGTGCAACTTACCAAGGTATTAGATTTCTCGTTAGATCTGTTGTACCAAAACACAAAACTTTACTAAACAAAACAGTAATTCAAATCTTGCCCCCATCCCACGCACAATATAGAAATACAAATAGTTTTGTCAAAAATAATATTAATTTTTATACACTGACTACTACTACTAAATTCAAAAATAATTCTTAAAATAACAAATCAATTTTTTTAAGTTGTAAAATGGGGCAAAATAGTTCACCCGGTGAAAATGACTTTTTTTTTTTCTTTTTTACACTGGAGTTTAAAAGCTAATACGGTTCAACTTTATTCGCTTTTCATTTTGTCTTGAACGTAAAAAGATCGGAAACATTGAAGAAAAAAAGTATGTGGAAAACAAATTATTGATTAGATTATAAATTGATTAAATTAAATAAAAAAATAATTGATTTCAAAATATACTGAACGGAGACCAAGGATTTGATTATTACAAAAAATGAAATGTCAACGAATGGCAAATAATCAACATTAAAAAAATAATAAACATTAATTTTCCATAGTCCAGTTTAAAAAATGTGCGCTGCTAAAAAGAAGATTTTTAAATAAAAAGTTACATTTTTTTCTATAATTTACTGTTCCCAGGTTTTCGCCTCAACCGCAAATGATAAGAAAAATAATAAAATCAAGTGAAATTGAAAAGTTTTATGAATTATTGTGGTTAAAAAAAAAATTATTTAAATTGCAAAACGAACAACGTTGTGAAAATAATTTATTCTACAATATTGCATTAACTTTCGATTTATGAAGAAATAATTTAAAATTTAATGTACAAGAAAATAAACAAAAATATTTTCATAATTTCCCCCTAAATTCAAACTTTTCTGATCATTGGGGAAAAATAGATCCCAATTGAATTAAATTTAAAAAATGTCATGAAAATTTAATAAAATTAAAAATAAAAGGACATTTTAAGAGATAATTCAAGAGTGTATTTAAAATAAAAGTACATTTTAGAAAAAATATACTAAAAAAAAAAAAAAAAAAAAAGAGATTTAGGATTTAAATAAAAGTTGTTTTTGTTTTTTTAAACGAGAAAAATTTAACGTTGAGCAAATCCAGAAATCGGAAGCAAATTATCACGCAACCATCAGAAAAAAAAACAAATATAAATTGTAAATATACTTACTTTCAAACAGAAAATATTAGAATCCGTTTAAAATTAGTAATATTTTGTTTTTAACTTCTTACTTAACGCTGCTTTTTAAACTTCAAAATTTAATGACTCATATTAATTTATTTTTAAAAAAGTTTTACTTTTAAAAAAAGCAATTTTATAACTTTCTCATAAAAAAACTTATTCCAACCAAAGTGAAAATGAATTAATTAGCGTTACTTTTAATTTTATGTAAAAGATAAACAGAAAAAAAGAAAAAGGAAATTTTTGAATAGAGGAAAAAAAAAAGAATAATAATACTCAAGCTCATAAATTTGTTTTGTTGATATTTTTAAATTTCCCTAAGAAATTAATTTATTTATTTATCTGCCCTTGATGAAAATATTTAAGTTTTTAAACATATCAGGATGCTTTTATTTAAATGTCAAAGAGAAAATAAGTTTCGACTCTTACGTCATAGAAGCATAACGATCATCAGAGACAAAAATAGGTTCACATGTCAACAACAGCAAGTTCTTTACTTGTAACGAATAATAATTTATAAGAAAAAAAAGTTAGTTTTCCGAAAAGGACAAAAAAAAAAATTTCAAACTTGTTCAGATCATGGCTGCTTGTTTGTTATAAGATCTTATTTGATTTTATTTGCTATTTTTAAAAATAAAACTGAATTTCCCAACATTAACAGTTAAACTAAAAATAAAAGAAATTTGCAAGTTTACAATTTTTCAGATAACTCCGTAAGTAAAAATCATTGAGAAACTTCAAAAGCTACAGAAAAAGGGTATTTTTTTTTTATATGTTGTTTGTATTTAAACACTAACACGCCCTTTTGAACATTGACAAATAATGTAAATCAAAGATAAAACACTTACTTTTTTTTTTTAAATGTAGATTCCAATTATAAGCAATCGACGAGGAAACAACCAGTTTAAAAAAATGTAATATTTAAAGACGAATGGTGAAAAGAGGGTCCCAATTGAAGAAGACACAGGACAGTTATGTAATTTGACCAGGAAGGAAGTTGTTGGGGGGGGGGGAGGAATGAAACAGAAAAAAAATGAAATAAAGGCTAAAATTATTTCGATGGTCAAACAGTTTCTCTGGGTTTATTATTTTTTTTTTTTTCGCTTCTCTTAGAGGCAAGTTGTTTAGTAATACCAAACTAAAGTGGTTGAGAAAAATAATTTCCAACTGGTGTTTGTTTTTGTTTTTTTTTGTGTGTGTGTGTGTGCGTGTGTGTATTTTTACCTTTTAAAAAATCGTAAAGACGAGCCCTGCTGATGATAGTCACGTGGAGGATAACCTGGACGACAGCAATATGTACTGAAATAAAATAAAAACAGGAAAGAATAAATTAATGTTGTTGTCTTATGAAAGAAAGAAAATAGTTATAAAAATATCGACATCAACAAGTTACAAGACATGCTTTCTTCGTCTATTGTTGTAAACTGTTCAGATTTATCGTCTCAAATCAAATGTAAACATTCTTTTTTTTTTTTGGGGGGTTAAAAGTGCAATAAAAGATCTTTCATTGTGGTTTTACACACAAAAAGAAAAAAACAAGCTAACAAAAAACACGTTTTCGTTGCGAGGAGAGAAACAACGAGAAAAGGAAAAAAAAAAAAAAAAGCCTAAAGGAAAAGATTTTTTATTCAGGAAGATAAAAATCAAGATATGTAAAAAATGAAACTAAAAAGTAACTATCGATCCTAAAGGCCTTAGTTTTACTTTTAAAGACTTTTTTTTTAATATATAAATATATATCCATAAACATGTGTAGCCGCCAAAATAATTTAAGATATTTTTATTATATAAATAACTTAAATTAACAGCTGTAGCGAACCTGTCATGCGTTTACTAAAATGGTCACGGAAAAAAAAAAATCGCGATTTGGCAAATTACAATAACAAATTTATAACTCGTGATTATAACGATGAGTTGATTAATAATTTTTTTACATAATCAACATTTAAGACAAAAATAAACAACAGAATATAAACATTAAACAAGAAAGTGTATGAAAGAAGATAAAAAGGACAACAAAATAGACCAACCGAAATTCGATAAATCGCAGGTTCATAGCTGAATAGATAGATAAACAAATAAGAATATAATACACATTTCTGAACGAGATGAAATAAAGGTGATAGCATGTGGTGATATTGAGAAGTCAAAAAACAACGTGGTCGAGTTTGAGGTTTAGCAATTTGAGTTTCTGTCGACAAAACCCCAAGATTTTCGCTCATCGCCATTCTGTCTTGTATCTTCTTCACTGAAGCAAATTTTACAACAAAACGACTTGGCTTTTTCGGGGAAAGGTCGACCAAACAACGAGATAGCAAATATGTTTAATTTTTTTTTTAAATCCTACCCCAACATGAGATATGAGTTGTGTAAAAATATCGTCGGCACGATGCTATTTTTACTAACCAGTAAAATGTTGCTGATGAAAAATCTACAAGTCGTGCTATTTTGGGCCTGGAAATCACTTGGTGTATTAATAGTCAGAGACTCTTCTATGTCGATATGTTAATTAGCTGTGAAGCGGTCGGCAGTGAACAGGTCCGAGGTGGAAATACCCGATTTCAAAACACACGCCAAAAGAACACAAAATCTGTAAATTAGTTTTCAGAAGAGTGCTGAATTGTTAAACTCGATCGACCTGCCCGACTTATTTTGATTGGAAAGTAAAGAGACGGGAAAAGAAAGCAACAGCACTAACTTCCTTCGGCGGATGGTTTTGTTTGTCACTTGGGGCTAGATTACACACTCACGATCATACATATGTACATACACACTGCGCTAATTTTTGTACTGTGTATCGGAATCTTTTGAAGATGGAATTATAAGAAAGAAAACGAAAACACAAAGGAAGATTGACAGCAAATTGATAGGTTAGAAAAACGAGTTAGAGACACACAAGAATCGATGAAGTCATTTAATTTCAACACACAATTTACCGATATCCAGTGAGTAGTCACGCCAGTTGAGTGTGGAATTCCACATACAATGACGTAATGCAACCTTCCACCAAGCGGGCAGGACTAAAAACAAGGGGCAGATAACTCTAGTCCGAATTGTTAGATTTATGATTGGGAGTGGTACAGACGCATGCTAGAACACTTTAGTGAAATTTACCTACCAACCAAGCTAGCTAGCTAGCTAGCTAGCTTAGCAAAGCAAGCGAGCTTACAGATAAAAAGAGAGAAGGATAAATGAATGCTTACCGTCCGAAAGAGTAAGAAGTTGCGTAAGAAAGCAGCTAGAAAGAATATTTTAGAGAAGACTCAAGCTGAAAAAATGAGGGATGTAGGTTAAAGGAAGAATGAAGTAGATTCAAGAAGACGAAAAGAAAGATGGATTTCATCTGAAGAAATAAAATGCGATTGGTAGGGAGGTGAGGTAAAGTAGGCAGCTAAGCCAACAGTAGATATATGACTGAGAAGGAAGAGACACAGAAAAGGGAGAAGAGGGTAAAAAAAAAAATCTTAGTACACGGGAGTCGCTCTCATAATGATAACAGACAGGGAGGGGCTGCAGAGGAAGAATGAATCAATGAAGTTTTAGAAAGATAAGAGATTTTTTTTCTCAAGAAAGAGGGGGGGCAACTTGAACAAGAGGACAACATGCAGAAATCAAGAATTTTCAAATAAAGTCCTCTTTTGTTAGCTTTTACTTTTAAAAAAAAGTAGCCATAAAGCTATTCATGTGTATATACTTAAAATACGTATATGTGCTTAGGACGGGGCACACCCACAAAATTAGAGAAATTAAAATGATATAAAAAAAAAAAACTATGGGGCAAAAAAAGCTGAGATAGCATCACAGGATGGGCATGGCATCAAAAACCAGGTGATATCAAGACCTTCGTCTGCAAAATAGGTTTGCCAAACATCTTCATTATTTCTTTCATGACTGTAGGCAACCTTTTGTTTTTCTTTTTTGTAACAACATACCGTAAAAAGCGAAACTGGTAATTCATTTCATGTATGAAATACAAGTGCCGTATGGAATATTCATGCTGAAAGGAATTTTTCATCTCATAAAAAGAAAAAAAAAGTTTACCGGTTCAAATAAACATTTTTATTTTAAGTTTATAAAGTAAAATGAAAAAAAAAAATTCTACGGAGAAAATTATTTGAAAAATAGTAAAATAGACATTCTCTAACTGGAAGTAAAAATTGAAGGCACTTCTTGCATTTACACAAAACTACACTTAAACCACACTTAAACCATTGCCAAGTGAGGTGCTTTCTAAAATATTTTTAGTCTAGCTAGACGATCAGAATCATTATCCTTACCTTTAAGCTACAGCAGCCAGGGGCCCCTCAAGCTTTTATAAAGCAATGATTTTAAATTTGTAGAATAATTTTATAAACTGAAATGATATCAATATGACAAACTCATATTTATTTGACTTTGCAGGAAGCAAATCAAGGAAAAGAATGTTTTTTAGTTTTTGTGTCATTGTTTTTTTATGTAGGTAACATGTTAGTTTGATTTTAGTTCAAAATGTTAATGTTAGAATTTTTTATAAAGCATTGATTTTTGTTATAACTTGTAAATAGTTTCATAAACTGAAAGAAAGGATATCAATATGACAAACTCATAATTATTTTGATTGTTTTGTTATAATGCTGATTATAGAAAATCAGTTTTTTTTACTAAGGTTGTGTTGAAATATGGTTGGATTTTTATCATTTTCAATAAATAGTAAAATAGTGGTATTTTTTAAAGAATATTTTTATTGACAAACAAAAGATAGCTATAATTTATTTAAAGAATTTGAAATAAGTTTTTATTTTTTTTTTACCTCAAGCAGTGTAAATGTTTCTAAAATATATCATGATTAAAAATATTCAAGACAGGTGCAGTCAAGTTAGGGTTGCTCCGTCGGAGGGGTGGAGTGCATAATTTCATTAGTCTATGGCTTCAAAAGGTCATAATCCTGCCCTGATCAGAAGTCTAAGAGCCTAATATTTCCTTTTAGATGGGGGGTAAATTTATGATTTTTAACAACTTCATGCTTGAATCCTATATTCTCTCAGTAAATTACATTTTCAAATGTTATTAAATGCTAAACTTTCAAGTTAATGGAGTTATTTTTCAGAAGCAGAAAGAAAAAAAGGCCAATGACCAAGCTGTAAAATGGTTGGCATTGTACGCATGAACATTTAAAAGTGTGCATGTGTTCCTTGCTCTTTGCCAACATATCAACTTTTATGTTCTTGCTAAATCTAAAAATTGCCGACATGAAAAAATAATTGTTGTTTTAGACAACTAACGTTTTGATAATGTACATTGTGTCAAATTGCAAATATTACAATGTAATATAACATGAGAATTGGTCATCAAAAATTTCTAGGATGATGATTTATTTACAAGTAGATTATTGTTCCCCTCTTTGTTTCTTGTTATCACAAAACATTTTGGTCATTGTACCTTCTGGTCTTCATCAAGTGATTGTTAATCCAGGGTAACTGAACCTTTTATTTAATCTGTTGGGGTGAGTGGTTGTCGAGTGTTCTTGCTCCACTGTTTATTTCCAGAGATATCTCATCTAATTCTTATTTAGTACTGCTCAGTTATTGTTCACCCCATTTCCACTGAAAGATACTGCCCACGCCAGGGAATTGACAATTACTATGTCACCAAGTTCAAAAATCAACATTTTAATCCTCTAAGCTATTGTCCTTTGGAACAATTCTTTGAGTTGGTTGGTCGAAGTCATGGTTAGTGTCAGAAGATAGATCTGGAGCAGATTAATGTAGTGTTGTTGCTGGGGTTTGATGTGTGACACCATTGGAAAGGGGCGAGTAAATTGAAAAATAACTAGAAGATAGAAAAACACTAATTTCTGATAGACTGAAGATATACCGATGACAAGACAAGGGAAAATGAAAGAAAAAGATATTTGTTGTTGTTTTTTTATTGGAAAAAAAAAATAGAAAAAGGTAATTAAATTTCTTGTCCACCAGAGAGGTAAAGCAAAGAGACCATCTGGTTTTGGTTAGGACTAAGATTAAGAGATGGGATATTCTTAGATGTCCAAGGACCTCCCAGAAAGACGTAGATAATATTTTTACAACTATTGAATGACAGAGAGGAAGCTGGACCTCTGGCCACGAATTCATTCAATTGGTAAGGATTAACTTTTAAAAGCTGACAAGTTTCCAGTAGAAAATAGATAAGAGAATGATAATTAAAGTTTTTGTCTGCCAAAGCATGATAAAAATTTTCAAATCAAGGGATTGTTCCCTTTTTGTCACTTGTTGGCCAAAGGGTTGACGAGGGGATAAAAAAAGTGATAAATCCCAGATGTGAAAATGAAACCACACAATAAGAAAGAATTTTGAATGATAATTAAAATTTGGACTAAACCATGCCTAGCCCTTGGGGGATGGGTTTGATCATTTGACCAAAGAGAAAGTGTAATTTCAGGGAAGGCGGAGGACTTTCCATACTCCTCAGGCAGTGATGGTGAGAGGCACTCACACAAAGCAGGAAGGAGATGGGTTTGATCAGGTGACCAAACAGGAAAAGGCCCAGGTGGAATTACAGGGAAGGCAGAGGTGCTCCCCCATATTTGGACACTTGCAGGGAGATCCCTGATTGGTTGTTTGGGGAATGCTTGCATACCCAGAGTACATCATGCACCACCCCAGCCCTTGTGCATGAGTCCATAAAACAGAACACCAAGTAGATGAGAGAGACACTATGGCAGATGAAGGGACAAGATCGAATGGAGAAACAAAAAGCACCACTTCACCCGATCTTGTGTGATTTGCTGCCCTGAGGAGAAACCTCTGACTTTTTCCCCAAGTGATATGTGCTATATCTAGTCTGAAAGAAGACAGTCTCATGATTTCAGAACTGATCTAACTCCAAGTATTTGTCAAGTTATGTTCATTTGAAGTTAATGAAAACTCACACATTTAATGACTTTTTATATGATCAGTTCTGGATAGTTGCTTTTTCTGTCTCTTTTTGTGAGGTAAGAAATTGAAATCAACTTAAAATACATGTCATAAGTGATAGATTCAATTTGACACTCTTTAAAAAAAAAATTATAAATATCAAGTGGATTTCAGGCCCTACAACACAAATTGACACCATTTTTTTACCTGTCTCCAATCCAAATTTGAGTGATACTCACAAAAAATGCCTGCAACAAAAATTTTTTCTCCTTTTTAGTATAAGTTCCCAAATATTAAAATAATTTAAATTTGCAGAATGTTAAAAAAAATTCTAGTTCTCAGTAAGATATTTAAAATGTACTCAACTCCGTTCATACGTTAAATTGTTCATGACCCACTTTTGGCACCAAATATCACTTTTTGACATAACTTTCCTTGTATTTATCAGAAAATCATGATCTAGACATTTATTCATGTATCTTTTAGGGTGCTAAATCCTTTTTTGGCAATGGAAATTCCTCCCAAAAGTCTAAATGGGTTAAATAGAAAATTCAAATTCAGAATTTTGCTCTCCACTGCAAACAATGGTTTCTGGAACTAAACCCCATTTTTTAAAATTAGAAATGCAAAAGTTTTGTTTTAATCTTCCTCTTGAGTAAAAATAACATTAATACATTATGATAATTGAACTAAAAATTATTCAGGAGGCTCAAAAATTATAAATGTCTGCTTCACTCTATTATCCAATCTCATTATATAATTAGTATTGCAAAATATATTAATTCCCTGTATGCAAGCATCACTTTTATACTTGTAAATCTGATCTGATGTTGACTGATTATTAAAAAAAAAATAAATTCTTTTTGGTGTTGGAAATATAGAACATTCACTTTATTATTTACCAGTAATACTGATTTCTAAATACTTTTCTCTCTTTTGTTATTACATTTCAAAGACTAATTAGATTTGCAGCATTCTTTAGGTTTGTTTTTTTTCTACTAGTTGATGACCTCAACACTGTAATATTGTTCCATTTCTCTATCCATTACCTACAAAAATAAGAGATGAATTTATTACTTTAACATTTTTTTCAATGTGTTTTCTAAGTGTGACGACATAGTCTGCACATCGTTCACTGATGATATCTAAGGTCAGTTGTGCCTGCATATACACCTGACTCACTATGTTCACAGGTTTGTTTCCTTGGCCATGATTGAATTCAACAAAGAATAATGACAAATGATTTTCAATTCAAAACTCTTGAATGTTTTCCTTTGGCTTCGATGGTAAACTGCTATCTCCCTAACGGCCACGGAAAGAGGACCCTTACATTCACTGACTGGCCGGACGACTGCTGGTTTCTCACTACTCACTGGTCCCTTCCTGGCTGCTGGTCACCTACTGCTGACTTCCTGCCTCTCTCTGCTTATATGGATACTGGCTGGAGACCCACTCCACTATCTGTCCACTTGTGTTAAAATAAAAAAAAGAATCTATCTACTTATGTCCTAAGGATGTGTGAAAAATCATATTGTTACACAAGCAAGGCAATAAAGTCACTAAGATGCAAGGGGTTATTGAGTGTGAGATAATACTAGAATAAGAAAACATTATTAAGGAGAGAGAGAACAATAAAAGAACAGAAATTAAGAAGACAGACAATAACAACCAACATTACATTTAGATTTTTGAAGATCAATGTTGACTGGAATGCAAGAAGCCAGAAGAGAGTTCCTCAAGCAAGAAGTGTGAGAGAATGTACTGTTAGCATAGAACTTACAGTTACATCTGTCCATTTCACATGTAAGAGAAAAAGACCTTGTTGCCAATCTAGTAGTACACTTAAATTCATAAAGTCAAGGTACCAAAGAGGAAAACTCATCAAAACAATTACCATGAAAATATTTATAGAAAAAGCACAATGAAGCTACATTATGGCATAGGTGAAATGACTGAAGCCAAGATGCCAGGTCAGGACCAATAAAATTGTAGATTCTTTTTATGATTTTTTTCAAGAATCTCTAAATTCATAGCAGATGCATCAGATCAGATGTGACAGCAATATTCAATGTATGGATGAATATGAGTCGGTTCACTGTGTGCTAAACAATTTTCTCACCAGAATGTATCTTACATATTTATATGTAAGATACATTCTGGGGAGAAAATTGTTTAGCACACAGTGAACCAACTTCCCTAGCAGGAGACCTAGCAATTGACTGATTCAATATAATCTTTCCACTTCATGTCAGCAAAAAACATTAGCTCAAGAAGTCAGAAGGAGTTATTCTCCTGGAGGTCAGCATCAGCCATGTTGATGGGAGGCAAAAACAGTTCTCTCAGAGGATTAAAAGAGAATAGTTTTGTTTTGGAGGTGTTAAAATTAACAAGTCATTTCTTGTCTCAGTTAACAGATTTTAGGTAATTTTTGAGCTCAGATACCCATTCAACCATATCAAACTGATCATACTTACCATTAATAGCAACTCCTGTTTCTTAAATGATCTATTTACTTAATGTCATAGGCTGTGGACAATAGAAAACTCACTGAAATTCAATACCAAGGAATAAGTCCTTAACTTTTTATTTACTACATTGCCTGGCTAGATAACTAGATAAGAGTAACTTACTTTTGTTATTGTGAGATTTTGTAATGCATAATGAAAAAAGAAACTCATCAGATTCACAGAATTGCAAAAACAAAGAATGTTAGTAAAACTCAGCACATAATACTACCTACCAACTTAATAATGTTTGTTACAGATACTTAAAAAAAAAAACTATAAGAGATTTAATTAATACAAAACAAAATAGTAACAACTGAAAACCTGAAGCTAAAATGTAGGGTACAGACTAAAAATGGTCACAAGAAATGCACAGCTGAAACGTCTAAGAATTTAAATAAATGTTTATGTGAACACAAAAAGAGATATTTTAGAAAACAATGCACTAAATGCATTAGTCATTTATCATACTAAGTCTGACCTTCATTTCACCTTAATGCAATTTTAATTAAAGGAGGATTTCTTAAGGCAAAATGTATAGAGGGTGCACTAATTTCTGAGTTTTCCATATCCAGATTCTTAAAGCATTTTCAAATAAAACAAAAGTAGCAAGAAGCTGAATAAAGTATGCTAGGTTGTGCATCTAGGCTAGGCATGGGCAACAATTTTCACACATTACACTACATGAGATATAATTCATCAAATAGTTTGGTCATGTTACCAAAAAAAAAAAAATCAGGTAATTTTACATTGAAGGCATCTCAGCCATTTTCACTGCAGATGACCAAAAATCAGAAAAAGGTGATTTTTTTCTTCAAAGAAAATATTTTTTCTATCATTAAAAATTGAAGTCTTGGTATAATATTATCACTGATGACAGTGTGATGACCACATACTGCAATCAGTAATCTGTTTCTAATTTATTCATTTAACTATATGGAAAAATATTTTTTAAAAAACATATATAGTTCTTATTTACAGTATTTACATTGTTCAGACTATTGTTCTCATCTTTGCTGTCATATTCACAATTTTTCAGCCATTGTATGCTCAAGCCTTCTTCAGATGATTGGAATTTCAAACTGAACCCTTTATTTCATCCTCCAAGGCAGATTGTTTTTGTTCCATATGCCAGTGAGAGTGTAGAAGAGAAAAGTGAGGTTCATTCTCATTTTCATTGCTTTAGAATGAGTGAATTAATGAAAATTATAATTGTTATAATTATTTTTGACACTATAATTAATTTATGTATTTCTTTATGGGCACAACAGTAGGAAGACAATGTCAATAAGAGGAATAGACTAAAACACTAGCTATGAAGTAGAGACATCAAAATCAAGCAAGTTCAGAAATTTAACACTCTGGGAAGTGTTTTAACACAACACAAAATATGCAGATATCCAAATACACATTGGAATAGTGAAAAATGCTTTCTAAAAGCTAACCAAAATATTAAGAAACAAGAAAATTTCGTTAGAAACAAAAAAAAATGGTGAACTGCTATGTAATATGACAATAAATGTGCAACAATGAAGAGAAAACATGAAGCAACAATGATGTGGTTTTACAGCAAGATGCTGAGAATACCATTGATGTATGATAATAAACTACATCTGGCAGCAAGTCTTCTGTTTGGGGGATTGAATGTTTTGCAGAGCATGAAACCACCTTTTAATTGTATTTTTTCCCAGATCCACCCTGATCTGGGGGATAGCACCTGTTATGTTCCCCACCTATGGGCAAATAGTGAACCCCCCAAACAAAAACAAAACACTATGAAAGTATAAAAATACATTTTATAGTAAAAATACCAGCAATACATTTTTATATAAATAATTACCAGCAATACATATTTATAGTAAAATGACCAACAATACATTTTATCTGTAGTTGAAGGTGTGCAATTGCATTCAAAATATATTTAGTTGAAGCCATAAAATTGTGTTCAAAATGTTTAGATTTCATCATTAAATAACCCATAGCGGTGTTGATATGCCGCTAAACAAAATCAACCAAATATCATGGATGGTACATATGAACAACAAGAAGAATTTAAGGAAGATAGAAACAAAAGGGAGACTTAGAAAGAGAAAAAGTTAAAATAAAAAAATGAGGGTTTGGAGAATTTGACACTCACAGGACATAGTGAAGGCAAGAGCAACAGAAGGAAACTATGAGTAACCTACTTAACAAGCTTGTATAAATGAATGGCAGAG